TATTGCACTGTTTCAAGCCATCCCTTAACCCTCATGCAAAAGGTTTACCAGGATGCGCAAAACAGCACGCCCATTATTTCGAAAAATATTTTGAAATAACGGTCAACTTGGGTAGACACGGGGTAGCTATTTCAGGATACCAGAGGTATCCCGAAATAACCGTGCAGTGTAGACATACCCCAAGAACCTAAAGAAATTATTTTGAGTTAATTCAGTCATCCATAGAATCGCACTGATAATTCTATCCTTGTTGTAGATTTCTATAGTTTGGTTTTAATTTTTTTAACAAGCTGCAGAAATGCTATCCTTCTTTATTCAATTCTATAGGATTTTTCCATAAGGGATGTGCTGAGTTAATTAGTCTGAATTTAATTTTCTTTATTTAGCCTGAGAGAAGGGGAGTATATAATTGATCTATCCATTATGAGGCTTGCAGATGTTATAATAATCATTACCAATTACGCAGCAGTTTTATTTAACAATGTCCATCACAATTATTTGTTATTTTACAGACACCTCCTAAGTGCAGCTCTTACCACAGGCAGCATAATTGACAGATCAGGCACCAAGAAGTCAATGGTAACTCCCCTGTCCTGCAGCAATGATGAGCTTTGCAAAGGTCAACACTTGAAATGAGCATTTGTTGTTTCACATCTTACCAAGTGATTTTGCTATAATAGCAGTCCCACCTCTTATTAATGCTGAGAAGTAAGTCATACTGTCATGGCCCTGTTAGGCATACTTAAAGAGCATTTTATTTTTACGACATATACCTTCAGGCAGTCTCCTTGAACTGATCCAGGAGTGTCTCTACATTACCGTTAGAAAGCAGATGCGTTTTGATTGGCTTTATGTACTGTATATTCCTCTTTCCATGGATTCACAATTTGCCCTCAGCCAAGCGGTTGAATACCCACAAGAACTGTGCTACCAAATATAGACAAATGTTAGTGCTCTAATAATTTATACTTCTCAAAGGCATCAGCATAGCAGCAGCAGATTAGCAATTTCAAGGTATATATAAAAAGAATGTTTTCATTTTTATCAATTTGCATATTTACACAGTAATGCTCTTCCACACAGTTACAAATGAGATGCTCAATTTACCTCAGATGTTTTTGGAAGTCGACATTAACAATTCACTGCATTCAAATCAAAATGTATGGATATACGGATTTTAACAGAGGCAGTTTTATAAGCGCTAAAGTGCAAAGGATTGCTACTGGAAGCGAAGAATCAGGAAAGATTCCTATTACTCTAACCAATCACATAACCATTTCCAATGAGGGGTTATCTACTATATATTTTAGAAACTTTTTCTATTTGATCAAGAACTCCTCCTAAACAGTAAGAGCTAGGACCATCACATTCAATATACAGCTTCCTCTTATCATAACAAAGCAATGTAAGGGTTTAGTTTGCTAGGAAAATGGGATTGCTTCTTATAAAATCAGACAAAAAAGAGACAGAATCACCAAATCTAGTACAGTCCTCAAAACTGACATACCCGAGCAAATGTTGAAAGAAACTGAAGTAAGATGAGCCAGAAAAATAGGATGAACCTAGAATTGGATTGTTTCTCAGTAAACTTTACAGAAAAGAAATAAAACAGAGAAATTCGGAGTAGTGCTCTATTTTGGCACAGCTGCTCAATGCTTAAGGTTTGAAAACTAGAAGACAATATTATTGGAAAACAAATTGATTATAGCCCTTTTTTGTTAAAACATAGTGAATGATAAGATTTTAATAGGACGAAGAAAAAATACTTGATGGAATTCCCATTTTTAAAAAATTACTAAAATTAATTTCATAAAAATAACACTGTATTTTTCAATAAGATAATCATTTCAATAAATCATGTACATTTAAAAAAAGATTGAATTAAGGGTCTGAGCAATGCCAAGTAATCTACAATGTATATATGTAACTCCCAATAAGTCTACCCTCTGGACGCAAGGAGAAGATTGTATGCACCTTGCTGCTAAATTTTTCCAGTGGTAATTCTTGTAATTATATTGTCTCCTTAAGCTTCTTGGTCTTTTTTGAAGATTACTCTATCTCTATTATGGATACCATAAGACCAAGAAGACAACATTCATTAGATGTGATGAGGAAATATTAATCTCAGAGAAAGTGGAAAGGAAAAGAGTTGATTCTTTATCCTTGTCATTCAGAAGGAAAGGGGAAAGATGATTTGTGTGATCTTGGTGTGGTACAAGAGCATACTGAACTTTTAAATCCCCTAATTCCCTAAAGTATTATATTTTAGAGACTTTTCAAACTTATCTTTCAACACAGGCAATCCCTTCACTGAAAAAAAACTATTTGCTTCACAGCAGAAGAAACACTATTCCTTGCTTAAACAGGTACCTACACAATACATGCCTAGTGCAACTGCTTAACACACTTGATAAAATGTTTCTTATTTCTTTGCTTTGGCATTTGCATTTAGAATACTTAGATATTTCACTGGAGAGAAAATTGTATTTAAAAAGTATTACTTGTATTAGTTATACTTTTGTGTACAGAAGATTGGAGTTAGTAAAATAATTATACAAAAGTGCTTGCAAAGCCATGAGATAAAAATACAAACCCCAAGTTGCTTTAATGCTTAAGCATTAAAGTTCTGTAAGTCTCTGTCTTCTGAGAAGGTCTGTTAAATACTTTCTGGAACTTTGGAAGTAATGTTATTGCTCTATGAGCATGATAGCTGCGTTATACTGATAACATGCATCTATATATCTTAGGGAAAAAGTAATAAACCCTGCAATGAAACGCTATTTCCGGAGTCTCTTCTAGAGAAGATAACTTTTGCACAAACTCATTTTTCATTTCCACAGCATTGTCTTCTTTTCTTCAAACAGGATATAAGATGATTTCACAGGCAATTTTAGAAGTAAGCACCTACCAAAGTTCACCCTTTACACAAAGATAGTCAATCTCCAGAAAGGACTAAAAATAAAAAGCCATATTTTTCAAAAGCGCACACACACACATACACACACATACATGAAGATTAACACGGCTCCCCTACTTTAGGTGCTTTTAGAGGCAGAATGAACTTGCATCAGCTAATAAAACAATTTCATTGAGAAACAGCATTCCATACAATTCTTGATCACTTCTTCTGGGGCTAACTAGCCAATTAGAAACACCCACTTTCTGCAATTTATTTAATTGTATAATCCAATAGCAGTAATGCTATTTTTCTATCTTATCCTAAAATGCTTGTTTTGTGACTACATTTTGCGTGTAATCACAAAGCCTGGATTTCTTTTGGTCATTTTTCATCCTAACTAGAATGACAGACCTCTACCTTCAGTAGCCAGTTTAGCATTCTGGATTCTGTAAAGGAAAGGTACAGGCATTAACGTCACTGGTGGTAGAGGAAAATGGGGCTGAATGTTTCAAGAGTTTACTCAATTTCACAGTCGCCACCATTATTTGTCCTTCCATTGCTTTCTTCCAATTTACTTTCCCTTTTGTCTTGGGTCCTGCCTGCCCTGCAGCACCTCCTCATGGCCAAACCTGGCATTGCCAGCACTCCTTGCCTCCGTTTCCCTCCACAAGTTGGGTCTTCTCAGTTCCCTACATATTGGTCTGTACTGGAGTTGTTGCTTAGTCCTCAGAACTAAGTGATTTAAAAAAAAAACAAAAACCACTTACCCCCTTCCAGATTAGCAAATGTTGGACTTAAGAGTCACAAACAAACAAAGATTTCTTTGCTCCTCAGGGCCTGTTTTAGCCCATTTTCTGGGTCCTGTTCCCTGTTTGTGTCTTGCTGACTCTGGTACACTCATCCCCCAGGCTGGCTCCTGTGGAGCTTTATGGTCACGTGGCACTTATAAAAGGGCTGAGGAAGATTGGTCTGAAGTGAACCAAAAAGACACCAGTATGCCCCTGTGAATGCCAGGAGCCAAGGTCTGCTGCAGGCCGCAGAAATTCAATCTAAGGTATGTCGATTCTAGCTATGCTATTCATGTGGCAGCAGTTGCATATTTTAGATCACCTGTCTCTCATAGCGTAAACCTGGCCTGACCCCCACCGGGGATCAGATTTTGTCCTGAAGAATGACTCAGGATCTGGCATCCACTGCTTCTATATCACCTACTGCATTTGGCCCTATTCTAATACTTTTATTTTGAACTTACCATCTTGTAGCAGTGAGCTCCAGAGCTAAATAGTAAGTTGCATTAGAAACCTTATTTGCCTTTTTCCAATTTAAACTTTTTAGTCTTTCAATTTAATGTACTATTTCCTTGTTCTTGTGTTATGGGACAGGATACTTAACAAAACTCCACCATTTCAGAGGGAGGATTAGACGGCCCAGAGATTGATTTCCAGACCTCAACACTCACAGCTTGAAAACAGTTCCACTTTTAAAAAGTCCTCTCTATATATGTGGCACTTTAGATTTCAAAATGGTGTCTTATATACCAGCTACTTGTCAAGTAAAATAAAGCCAATGTATACAAACAAAAATGTGAATTCCAGGATTCTAATACAGAGAGCAACACTTTTTTTCCTCAAAGACAAAAGGCGGCCCCTTTTAGCAACAAGTCCATTAAGAGAAGGTGTTATTCTCATGGGGCGAGGGGAATAAAACCCTTAAAGATACAGAATCCCATTCACATTTGACAAAATTGTTATCTGTTATTTGCATATGGTCTCTTTTCACTCTGCATGGCACAAGTGACTGCTTTGAGTTCATATGCATTTACTTCCTTTTGAGGATAACACCACAAGCTGAGCAATGACAGAGAAAATGCTCAGAGCTGAGTAAAGCTCTTTCTACTCTACACAAGAATGAAGAGATGCACAAACAACACTAGATACCCTTTTTTTATATATACAAAAGGCAACTCCTTCACTTCTTGTTTAAATGAGATCTCTAAATTCCAAAGGGTGATCTACAGCCTGTCAAGAAGCATTCATGTTATAAAATATATTGTGTCTGGATATGAGTCAGTCATGACAAGCTCAAAATACATGTTCTTTACCTGAAGATCTATCTTGATCCTCACAATCTCCAAGATCAACTGGAACTCTCAGACAAGGTGCTCCACACCAGTTAGCAGGTGAGAGAGAGACTCCGCATTTCATTCTGAAAAAGCAAGAAAGAGAAGTATTAGGGTGATGAACAATCTCTAGGGATAACAGTGCCCAATGAGCAGAGTCCAGTTTGGTGTTTCTCAAACAGTCACCCATGGAGCCTTTCTTTGTCATCCACAGAATTAAATATTTTGAGAACCAAGCACTGTGATATTGAGGGGAAAGACAGATAGTCCATAAGTGGGGAGTAGTTCACAAATCTAAAAAACAACTGGTGCCTCCTGTTATAGTAACTGGAGCAAGAGGGTGAAATCAAAGATTCCTCTGTTCTTTTCACACCTTAGTCACTGACTTTACTATATGACGCTGAACACGTCAATTAACTGCAATGTGCCTTATTTTATCTCTCTCTCTCTAAAATACTATCATAAATAGTTATTAATATCTTTTGGGGTGGTTACAATGTCTGCAAGGCACGTTAAGATTTACATGTGGAAAGTGCTGTTGCAGGCAAAGCATTACTATTCTCATTCATCCACCTGAAGCAACTAACTCTCCACCAAGCGACATTTCTGCAAAAAGCAAATTACTCTTTAAAAAACATTAGAGCAAGCAGAAATAAGAGAAGGCAGAGTAGGAACACAGAGCAAGACCAAAAATAACGCCAAAGTGTTTTCCAAAAGCAGTGAGAATAACGTGGTGTATACCTCTGTCTAAATTCCATATCGATACAGGTTAGAAGCATTTTAGAGAAGGTGAGAAGCATGAGAGCTAAATAATCTCTGTATCATTTTCATAATTAGCTCATTCAAGTTCCTTTTTCTGCTGAGGCATGGTTCCTCCAGCTCGTTACTGTGCCAATGTAAATGAGTTGACCTCTTCTCCTCCTCTTACCCCCAAGGAACCAAACCACCAGATTCATCAAGTCCTGCTGTATTCTGCAACTGGCAATGGCAAGTAACTGAAGCTTCAGAAGCAAACAAAAAACCCTACCATGTACCTAGGCAACAGTGCAATGCTGTAGCTAGAAGTATTTTGGGATTCCTTCCTTCCCTACAGAGCTCATCTTACAAAATTAGTGGATAAGCTCTAACTACCTTTATCTTAGACTGAATAACTACTAATAGTACTGCTTGCTACTATTTGCTGTTTACGAAGTTACCCAACTCCTTTATTAAATCTAGCCACATTACTCCAGTCCTGCCTTAAATCAATGTCTCATCCAAGAAAAGGGTAGTGGAGATTGTGCTGGAACATCAGAGAGCTGAACTGTCATTTCTCCAGCCAAACAGATTTCAAGCCAAATGATTTTGCTCATTTGTTACACACCACTTGTACTGAGGCCCAGCTTGCCTGAATGCATTTCCTCTTCTGAAAGTACTGTGCTAACCTCCCTAAAACCTCTATTAAATCATCAGAGGTATGTGATTCTGATGTGCTGCATGTGGAAGCAAAATTATAAATAATCCAGCCTGAGCGATTGTTACGGATTTAAAGCAGGGGGGAAAGGAATTACATGAGCAGCCCTGTTCTGTTCAGTGGGCTGAGTCTGCTGCTGCTTTCCTTATGAGGCAAATCTAGCTTGCTCCCAACTGCTCCATAAAAATGCACCATGGTAGCACACGCTACAATTCTCTTACCTGGCATGAACTACAGCTCGGACTGCTGCCAGTTTGAGGACAGGTAGGAGCTTAGAAATGAGTAGATATGAAGGAGATAAGCACTTGATAAATATAATTGATAAACAGACAAACCGATGCTAACCTAGGGCTACAGATCTACGCAGTTGTAAAAGAATAAAAAGAGGACATTTTAGGCTGAATTTAAAATAAAACAATTTTAACTGTGAGACTTTTCAGGCTGTGGAATAATCATTTTATGCAAGTGGGGAAAATCCTGTTGATTGGAGCATCTACTAACTCGGAAAAAAATCATGTGCTGCATGTTTCCATCACTTGCACTCATTGAAAGTCACAACTAGAGGCCTTCAGAAAGGTAAACTAATGCTCACACAGAAGTCACAAGTGCAATGCAGAGACTAGGTGAAGCTGTTTGGTCTGCATCATGCAGGCGGACAGACTAAATTACCATAATGGTCCTTCTAGCATTAAAATCTATGGGAACACACAGCAGCAAACAATTTCAAATGAGCAGGGAGATGAATTAGATGCTCTGGGGGGGTCTTTACTGTCTCTAACTTCTCAGATAGCATGTGTGTCACTGGGAAAGACTAGACATTTTGAACCATCTAAACAACTTTTTTAATAAAACATTATGATTGATAGAGACTGCTGTGACAGATGAAAATAAAACTTTTGTCATTTTATAGCAATTTCTTTCAGAAGTAGTAAGTTGTTCCAAATACATTAAAAGTGATTTTCTCAGTGATGCTCACTAGTATGAAATTGTATTTACTCTGCACTTATTTTTCTATTATCAATAACATAAGAAGCAGGCTTAAAAAACAGCTTCTCTGGATCACTGAATCCAATTTAGAGGAGAAAACATCTGGTTTGGAATACAGCATACTGACACAGGCACAAGCCTTCAGTTGCAGCTAAAACATAATGGAAAGAAACCCTACAGGATCAGCTTTCTAATTGCTCCAGTTAGGTAGATGGCCAGATGAGATGGTCCTAGATAACAACAATATTTTTTATCGTGCTATAAATAAAAGTGGTAAGAAAAGACCTGAACTTGTATGAAGGGCAATAAAATTTGATACCAGTTTGTCAAAGTTTACACAGACTGGCAGTTCCACGTGATAGGTAGTAGAGAGGTAAGTGCACATAGTTATCTTGTCTATTGGTTTTTAAGATCAGATAATCACAATTACACCAACATCTAATTTCATGTTAACACATGTTCTAGTCAACCTCTCTCCAAGGCTAACAGTGGCACAGGCATCTGAGAAAGCATTATCAGGGGCTTTCAATGGGCCACAGAGAAGGAACTCCAATCTCAGCACTAACAATCTCGCCAAGTAAAAATGAAGATGCAGTGAGAGAGAAGACATGGGGGAGGAGAGAAGCCCTTCCTCTCCTCATGCTATTCTTGCTGTGAGTATAAACTCCCATGAACACCCAACACCCATTCTATCTGCCAAATCTTACTGAACCTACACATTGTGCCTGCAGAGTCAGGTTAAATCCTTTGTTTAAATCAAGTGCCATTTTCACCATTGGAAAGGGACACAAGGCAGGGCTCCAGATTAGTAAAGATCCTTCCCATTTCTCTTCAGGAGTATGGGGAAAGGTTTAAAGAGTCCAAGGCCACCATTTATATCAGGAAAATTCTGATCAGCTGCTCCAACACTAACCTTAGGAAGGGGTTCGCTCCACACCCACTCTGTATCTTGAATTCTCATGAGGGTATCAGATACACACACCTTTAACACACACACCCACAAGCTAATTCTAGGTGGCATTAAATAATTTGTAATTTCACAAAATGTAACATATTCCTTTACAAATTACCAGAGAGAAAAGAAACAGAGGGCATGAAATAGAAGGACAATTGTTATACCAGTATATTTTCCTTACAGGCACAAGGACTAGAGTAAACCATAGAAAGCTGAGCATTCTGATCAAACCATACCTGGGCATGAAATAAAGAAAACCTCCTCGATTATACAGGACATGTACAAGATTGTCAAGACTCAACCACCATTCATGGCACCTATATATTTCTGATGTTATGAGAGAAAATACCATTAAGTACTCACTTCTTGGGCAACAGAGACAGTCCATCAACCATATGAGGTTATTTATGCATATGAAAACATTCAGAATAGGGCTCTCATTATCAATTGCTATATTGTTGTTTATGCACTAACATGCTGCACCTTAACAGCATAGAACACAGCACTAACAGAAACAGCCAGTAGTATTCCCAAGAACAGTGGTCAGAGAGAACAAAAGACCCCCTCTGTAACCACAAAGAAGCTGTATAAACTACAGGAATATTATCTGTATCAGCACTGTTAACATGAAATAATTTGCTGGTGAAATGTCATCCGCATTTTCCTCAAGTATCGTCACAAGATTATGCCTTATTAATCCTGACACAAACACCAATAAAAATAAATCAATCAGAATTATACTAGTAACAAGTATAATAATATATGTCAATACCAGTCCCTTTCCCAACTTTGCAAGTGCCATCTCCAGGTGGAAATGAGAGGTGTGGTGTTGGTTACATTAATACATCCAGCTCTAATTTGTTTTCTTCTTGTCATTAAAGCTAAATAAAAGTGTCTTAGATACAGTTACTATATATTTTGGAAAGTTTGTCTGTCCAAGAACTTCTCCTAAAATGGTAAGATCTAGAGCCACCAAATTTGGTAGGCAGATTCCTCTTATCTTAACTTAAAGCAAGCTCAGGGTTTGGTTGTGCCAGGACAATGGAATGTGCCTAGAATTTGATTTCTCATAAAATGGAAAGGGAGGTGTCTGGTAGGAGGAACAGTTACATTGTAGAATGACAACAGGGGGCAGCAAAGGGCCAGTAATGGGGACTGTGACAGCTTTAACCCCACTGGAGGGAGCAACAAGGAGAAAGGGTTAGGTATCCACTATACATTTCAGAGAGTTTGTCTATTTGTGTCTGTTTATCTGTGTGTATGTCAACGTTTCCTGTAAGCTGCACGATGCAGGGTCTGTACTCGCTGGGGGTAAGCAAGTTCTCCAATCAGGGAGGCAGGAAGTACTTGGAGGATCATGTGACCCAAATCGTGTTGGAACTGGAGTTGCTGACGACTGAAGGGGAGCAGGGGTGGGTGCTTCATTGCCTGCCACCAGCCACTTTGAAAAAGTTGGGTAAGTTACAGGCACTGCCAGGTCAGGGCAACTTCTCTTCTTCGCTCCCATATTCTCCCCTGCCCTGTAAACTGCTAACAGGATGACAACCTCTCACCTTTCCCCTCCACCCCCACCCCACTTCTCCCCTAGGCCCTAGCCCTCCTGTTGGGGAACTGAATGGACAGGGACCCCTGTTTTCCTCTTTGTTACACTCCTCTGCTGCCCATTCAGTTGCATGTTTACTTTTCTGTCA